GAAACTGACTTCTGTAATATCACTGAGTAGGGATAATAACTGAGAGAAGAATTCAGAGTTCTCAACAACCAATCAGGTTCTTTCCAAGCAATACTAAATTTTCTAAGAGAAAAACAGAAAGCTCCATTTTTTTTAGGGTCTCTATAATGGATATTTAAAAAAAAGTTGTCAACATTGGTGTCCAGTGCAGACTTATTTACATTTCTAAAACTAATACTAGCTTCTGGGTTTGCCATTTTTATTTGAAATATAATATAATCATTTAATCGTTTCTCGTTGATGATCTAACACTACCACGGTGATAGAAGAGGATACCAGAACAGTGCCTCTTAACCACAGCTGATTCTGCTCCCCAAGGGGGCATCTGGCAATGTCTGGAGATATTTTAGATTGGCATGACGAGGGGGTCCTACTGGCATCTAGTAGGCAGAAACCACGGATGTTGCTAACCATCCTAAGGCACAGAACAACCCCCTACAACAAATAATCATCTGGTCCAAAAGGCCTGTATGGTGCTGCAGTTGAGAAACCCTGGATTGGAGCAAGTGGCAGACAAAGTAATGCATATGACCACCCACACATTCCTGTTCACAAATTATTTATAAACACTGACTTGGTTCCATTTATAAAGCAAGAAAGATTGTCTTACAGCAAGAACAGCTGCTATGGGAATTGCTGCATTCATGAAGACTGTGGAAAGAAATCAAATATATTAGTTTCACTGAACTGTGAAAACATTTTTGGTAACTTTAATTAATCATCTGTTATTACATTAATTTTTCTTGGAGACAGGGAGGACTAAGTGAGCTAAATAATATTTTGTCTGGAGTCCATAAACATTTCCCAGCTGATGTTTTCTTGACAACAGTTGTATGAGCTAACATATACTACTCTTAACCAGAAACAATTTTCTTTATTGAAAAGGTTTATCTTATGAAATATTACAAAGAATTCCTATCAAATAATCCTGTAATGAAGAAAACTATTAAAAAGTATTAGAACTTAATGAACAAAGGGGTTTCATGTTTACAGCCTATATTGTTTGGTGCACTCAACTACCTTATATACATGAATATTGGGTTGTTGCCCAGATTTAAAAAAAAAAAAACTGACATCATTTCAAGTACTCTTTCCAAAAGTGGTATTTTCACTTACAGACTTTTACTTAACAAAAAAATAACTCCGTATCCTGGACCCTCTGCTGGTTTAGGTATCTCTCCAGGAATACATTTCCCTAGCCTTTGATGAGAATGGTATGCATAGCTGAAACAAGGAAAACTCATATTTTAGGCTAACATACTAGCATTTGGAAATCAGAGGTAAAAGAAAAAGCCAAATTGATGAGTTGTGGTTATATTTTTCACAAACCATAGAATTTTAGGAACTGAGGGCCCAAAAGGTTAAGTAAATTGTTGGTAACAGAGCACAGCAATGGCAGAGCAAGGGCTAGACCCTCATTTTCCTGATGAAGGTTTTCTACTGAGTTGCAGAGGACACCACCCGTCATTTGCTCTCGTGAGTTCTTCTCACCACTGTACATAGAGAAGAATCAAATTGAGCTTCTGTAGATCCAGAGATGACTTACTTATCAAATACAAATTCTTGTATGGTACTAGGAATTCAAACACCAATCTAAGCTTCATAAAAGCACAGACAAGGAGCCACGTTTCTGCCTTGATCTTCTTTCTCTATCTATTGTCACTCTTGTTTCTAAGTGTATTTGCTTCTTTTCCCCTCATCATTTTCAGTTCTGCATCCTTAAATAATCTCCTCTTGATGAGGAAGAATAAGACAACGACTGCTATTTAAAAACCATTTATATAGCAATCTGTGCACCAGGCAGAGGTAGCAGGCATTCATTATCCCATTATAAAGACGAGAATGAGAAGCTCAGGGTCACACAGTGGGTATTC